CATTGTGTGAGTGCTCCCCAAATAAATATCTATTATTCTTTTATTTAGGCGTTCGTGGACTTCCTTAACCCCTCCCATTCACTTGGTGCCCGACATCCTGAACCCCAGAGCTTCCCAGGGCCCGGCCCTGTCTGGCTAGCACCGGGGACTTTGAGTCTGAGGTTCTAAGATGGAGTTGGCTATCTGGTTGCTTAGTTGCTTTGCTAGATAAGCTAGGACCAGGCAATTGAGACTATATGTTCTACCAAAACCAGAGGATGAAACTCAACTGCTTTGTATTTATTTTGCAGTTACGTTTGGTACTACTTGGGAAGCTATCTGGCATCTGCTAATACGTTCTTCATGGTCGACCAGAGGGTCGTCATCTATGTCATGTTGGATGATTTTGCCTATATGGCATTGATAACTCTGAATCGTCTCCGGACGTTTAAAATTTTTAAGATTAAACGGGAGAGGAGGTGGCAAGACATCAGTATGATGCATGAAGATTATCAGTGAGCACATCACAGAGCACATACAGAATGAGGTTGACTATGTCTTCTGCATGGATGTGAATCAGACATTCCAAGACAGCTACGGTTTGGAGACCCTGGGAGACTCCATAGCTCAGTTACATAGCTATTGGTATAAGAAAAGCCCCAAAGACGTGCCTTATGAAAGAAATGTGTCATCAGAAGCTTACATACCAGAGGGGAAGGGAGATTTTTATTACCATGCTGCTGTTTTTGGAGGCACAGCCTCGCAGGTCCTCAAGATTACTAAAGAGTGTGCCAAAGGGATTATGAATGATAAGAAAAATAATATCGAAGCAGTTTGGCATGACGAAAGCCATTTAAACAAGTATTTCTTTCTCCATAAACACACTAAAATCTTGTCGCCAGAATTTTGCTGGGATTCACGTAACGCTAAGACTGATGATATTGAGACTGTTAAATTTTCTTGGAATTTTAAGCATTATGAATATCTTAGACAGTAAGTATAATTTTATGGCCCTTTCCTCATATTTCTGAATTTCTAATTCAATTTCTGAAGAGTATCAGTTACCTTGGAAAATTAGTACCTGACATATTTTAACAATAAAGCTTCATTACTAAGTGGCAAGCCAACCAACAGTGAACTCATCTTCAGCTCACATTCATCTTGAAGGATGTAATAAGAGATAAAGTACACCCAGAGTGAGTCTGCCAGAAGCAGATGGAGAGGTGGTAATTTCACATCTTGTGTGAATGTTGCAAACATAATGTGTTAGCTCATGATGGAACAGTATAGATTCTGGAACTAGAAAAGGAAACTAAATATCCCAGTTGATGAGATCCATGGTCTGTGGCTGCTTTCTTCAGTACATAGTCATTGCTATCTTGACTCAGAGAAGCTGTGGTCATTTTTGAGACCCTCACATGATAGAGCCCATTAACTTTCCGTCATGAGATTCATGAGGCTCATTCCTGTCCCCCAAGATACATAAATGGTTCATGGTTGGTGAAAAAGGAAGAGGCTTTTGTCAGTATAACTAGACCATAAATTGTCCATGCTTCTTTAAGTAACATCAATAAACTCTCTGCTTCACTAAGATAGACTGGGGTAGAATAATTTCTTTGGTCTGCTGTTATCTCTTTTATCTAGGATGACTTATATGTAGACTTCCTAGGAAATGTCTTGTAACATTTGGTATCTTGATAGAAACACAACAGAACCCAAGTTGAGTCTTGGTGGTGCAGTTGCATGGCTCCTGTTACAGTAGTTAATACATGCAGCTGAGGTGGAACCATCTGAGGCTGGGATGTCTTCAGAGACTATTCAGAAGGAATACTTGCAGGTGATATGTGGAGGTATGCCTTCTTGCTATAGTGGCAGCTGTATGTCCCCTGCTATGGACAAGAAGACATGCAATTGAGGCTGAGGAGATGGGGGATTCCAGAGTGAATGTCTTCATGTGATGTAGAATGGTGCGGCTCCTTGATGAATGGGGTTGGCTATGAGACTTTGGGGACATCCCCCAAATGGCTGATGGGCTAGAGAATATATTGAAATCCCTGAAAATAGCACACATGGGATGAGAGTATAGGCATGCTATGGCAGCAGTTACATGTCCTCTGACGTGTGTGACAAGACAGGTGACTGAGGTTGAGCTGTCTGCTTGGAAAGAACTTGCCTGTAAAGAGCAGAAGTTACAGCAGGGAAGTACATGGAAATGCTGTTCTCTGCCTTAGCCTCTCAGGTGTGTGTGTGTGTGTGTGTGTGTGTGTGTGTGTGTGTGTG